AAACCAAGTACAAAACTGCTACTGCCGGCAGACAACATTCCCCTAACTAGACGGCATAAAGCTGAGGACAACGAGTCGTCATTATGAAGAAGCCAGAGTTCCATGCCAGTTGACAAAAACGCAAGAAACCATCCGTCAACTGACAAAAACGCAAGACACCATCAGTCACCCGTGAATACCTGAAGGGTTGAGAAGGCTGCATCAAGCGCATCGGCCTCTCAACGAAACACCAAGTGCGTAGTACAACAAGGTGCAAAGTCACAACCGACCGTAGTCGTTCCCGGGCGGGCCAAAATAGGTGCCTCTTTGATCTGAATACGAACCCAGATCTAGACCCAAGTATTCGAACGGAATACTCGTTGACCTGCACCGACTTGTGGAAGTAAAAGGATAGACGAGATGACTTAATGATATACTTTTATAGGTACAACTGATTTTTTTAGGTGTCGTTCTGTTTTGCTAGCGACGATATCAGTGAGGTGAGACAAGCGATGGCAAAGCATTTCAACTATAACGTGACCTCACAATGTGTTACTGGTCATGTCAGTATTTTTAAATGGAGCGTGATGTACTCAAACCTTCACATGACACTACCAGTTATTCCGGTGTACATTGCTGTTCTCGTTCTGAGAAGGCTTACAATAGTCAAGCTTCACTCTGATACAGCTCTATCGGAAAAGACTAAACATCTTCACAAACAACTGCTCACGGTGAGCGCTTCTTTTTTGATTCATAATTTCCACATTTTTATTGTGAGTCTGGAGCGCAGAGGGGACGCCGCTTGCCAAGTGCACAGTTCAGAGGTCAAACTGCGGATCAAACCCGGCCAAGGCCAACCTAGTCATTCAGAATGGTACAAAAAATTCCTGATTCAAACTATGTGGAGATTCGGTAGAAAGTCGATACCTACTGGTTAACGGTCACTGGTGGAAATCCAGAAGTTTATAGGCCAGTCGAATTGACTGTGCCATGTAAAGCTTTTCGTCCCATTACCGTTCTCCGCTTAAAATGGGAGCATAAGAAGAAGAGTAAATAATTCATCTGAACTGAAGCCGTAAGCCGCGATAATAGTGGATGTCAAGCATCTAGCGTTCAAGCGGTTTTATAATTCAACTGTTCGGATGGCGCACACACATCTCTTTTCCATTCAAAATTCGCAGGGGGGTTTGAATGATTAGGCAATTAAAGCATGAACTTGCGGGACAACCCGATCTCTGAGTCAGTGTTTTGATCCTTTTGAACAAGTCTTTCACGAAATAACCATCCTTCCCGGAGGGATTGAAGGCTGAGTTGGTCGTGGGGAGAGATACGAGATAAATGACCCAGGGACCGTGCTCATCACTTTCAATTACACAACCTTTGTCTTCTCGTTTAGATACTAGGAGTTAATCCGTGAGTGAGGCGGCGAGTGTTCTTAGGCAGAGGAGTCGTGACAAATTTTCCAAGGCCGAAGGCCTTGCTTTGACAGCTAACAGCTAACAGTAACCATGCCATTTTGCTCGTCCGCAGCACAGATGGTGTTTGCGTCCTTCGTACTGTGCCTCTCGGCTTGTTTCGGCTTATCTCTCCCTGTGTCTTTCGTTTCGTTCAAGTTAAACCTCTTAGGAAAGGAGCCCTAATTCAGTCTCTATATGGTTCGCTTTTGTTTTTTCTCTCATTATGAGGTCACTCGTATTTCACATTTCGAGCGGAATCAGGCTCAATCGTTAAATGAGCCTGTTGTTTTGAGCAAGACAACAACAAGCGCATGCAAGGCGAAACGACAGCACATTCCACAAAGATTTCCACTCGGTCCTTATGTGAGCAGGATAGAGCTGCCCACAAAGTATTAGGTGATCTCATGAGTATTGTCAGTCTTCATGAATGGACATTATTCTTCTAAAAGTCTATGTTTTTTTAGAAAGCTTTATCGTGTTTCTGTCTGAGTGTGGTTTCCCTAATTGACCGCAGAGCCAGGTGGTTCTCGAAACTGAGAATTTCCGCAAACCAGCCGTGTTTTCACAACTTTCCAAATCTCATATGAAAGCTTTTCTTCTTGTGGATTCGGATGAACACGAGAAGGGGGGGGGGGCAAAAAAAATGAGCCACCTTGCCCATGGCGCATATCATCGAACTTTTTGTCGCAAAGGATGCCGCAGTAATTGGGCGAAATATTCCCTAATAAGCAGAATCAGGCCCACCTTCGCTGCCTTCACCGTCTCCAGAATATGACGTCATCTGTCATCACCGTCGAGCTCAAGGAGGCCTACCATAATCGCTCCATTCTGAAGCTGCTACATAATTCTTCAATCGGATAACTGGTGAATGGCTTCTTAGGGACACTAGCTCTGACTGCAAATGGCTTTTGACCAGCGTTTCAGAGACGTCGTAATCGTCTATGGTTTCTCGACGACCTCGTTGAGCTCGTACCGTGAACCATGTTTCCGTGGGAAAATCTTCTGATGTCGTCGGTGTAGAAGGCTGTATGTAATTTTTGATAGATAGAATGTGCTCTTCAATATGCAATTGAGCTCATTCGGTTTGGTTTTGCAAAGTGTAATTAATTCTGTTTTGAATGTGAATGGGAGTGACTCTTTTTTTCCCCCCCCCCTGTATAAGACAAATCGTTTCCAGTTTCGTTATGGATCAGGTTGAATTTGATCTCATTTCCAAGAATTTGTCTAGTCCACAAAAATGACTTCACCGCTCCAAAGAAACTCTCTCTCTCTAAAAGAAAAAAAAACTAGTGCGGTTCTTATACTCAGGCACGGCCTCTCCCAAATTTTCCACCTATTTTTGTATGCTTCAGCCGTGAAAAATCTTGGTCTATTTTCTACAAGATTGTGATGAGCCATCGAGTTTTCTAGGAGAAACTGAAAAAGGTCGATGCCGCCTGTTGGTCTAGTCAGTAGCGCAGTGTTTAGAAGAAGCGAGTCAAACTAGTGGGTACATCACGCGTCGATCTCTTTCAAAGAAAGATTCGAGTCAGTCACAGATTTGGCCAGTTTACTTCGACTGGAAGCCCACTCTGCAAGCAGACAGCTTTCTCCCAGAAGTACCCAATACAATGCGAAGAAGTGCGATTTTAGATTTTAGCGGAAGAAATCCATTTGAAAAATCGACAATACACACTGGGACAAAATACGCAAAAATCACTCCAGGTCTTTGCCACGTGGGTGACGTTCGATGCTGCCGTTACTTGAGTTGGAAAACTCCTACATACTGGATGTCTGTGATTTGCTTGTGCCATATTTTCGTCTTCAAATCTGCGCACTCTCCTCGGCGCCCTGTCTCTCTGAGCTACAATCGTCCGGTGCCCAGAAATGAGTAATTATTTCATCGTTTTTTGGTGGTTGCTTCAGCGGTTTCAGCGGCAGTCCATATCGCATTTCTTCTTTCATTTTCGAGCAATATCCAGTAAAGGAAATGTGGAAAAGAAAGTCAGTTATTTGACTCGGCTGTGCTGGCCAATGAGAGAAGCTGAGCACATGGGAGATAGGATACGCGAGAGAGCACAATGGATGAAAGCGCGCTAGACAAAACATGGTGCCGGATTAGGAAAAATGGAAGCGGTCGAAACGGGCTTTGCGCCCCGTCTGGGCACTCTTGACTAGAATGTCCGGACATCTGCAACCTTCGCAAGGGGCTCTGATACCTCATCTAAGGAATTCGTCCGTCTCGACTAGGTCGTGCCTTTGAAGAAGGAGACGAGTTATACTCTATTTCGGAACACGAGATGAAAATCGATTGCAGACCACACACAATAAGAGACGACGGCTGAGAAAAAAGACACTTCTCTCTGGTCGTCTCTTATG